AACTTCCGTCAGAGAGAGGGAGAGCGTTGTATCTGGGTCAATCTCGCACCTTTAGCTTACCTGACTGGGACAGGTGTTTGTCTAATTTATTTTTACCTTGTTTTTCTATTTGCTTTTTTCTCTCCTTATTTATTTTTTATTTTGCATAATCCGATCGTGATTGATTGACGCGGATTGAGGATTGGCGTGGCAAATATGAGACATAAATTGCAGCAAAAGAAAGGTACAAGGAAAAGCAAAAGAAAAACGTTGAAAATAAAACAAACTCGAAGAGTTAATGGCAAACATTAACTTGGCTCACTGTCTGTTAGCCATTGTCTGCGTTTTTTTTTTGTGCCTTCTCTCTCTGTGTTTATGTTTTGAATTTTAAGCATTAAAGTTCAAGAAACTTTTGCCACCTTTTGGGCCGCCAAAAGTTGATTATTTAATTTTGTTGGTAAGACCTCATTACACATTAAAACACAATCATTAAAACTTACCAAGAAAAAGTTATAGTTTTTAACTTTTTCATAACAAGTGCAAAACCTGTCTAAAGATCTTTGTTTTTTTTTATGAGTCGGTTTCCTTTGTCAGGTGACTTTATTTAAAGAAGGGGTAAAGAGACTTTCCCCTTCCATTCAATTAACATTTTCTTGCTAAAAGCTGCAAGTAACTTGGTAATGAGTTAAGGTTGTTAACTAAAGTAAAGTTAACTTGGTCTTTTTTACTGACAACCAAGTGTGAGAAATGAACCACAAGAAAGAGTATATTTTTCACTGATTTGATAATATTTACTAAATGTCTGGGTAGTTTTTGTGATAAGTTATAAAGTAATATATATATAAAATAATTAAAAGTAATATATATGAATTATATATAATATAAAATAATATATCTTCAATATTCTTCTTAAATTCTTTCACCAAAAATATTTTTATTTTACTTTATTATACAAGTAAATCTATGCATTTTAAATCAAATTAAATCAATTTACTTTTTATATCAGTGAATTTCATACATAGTAAACATTTAAAATCAATTTAATTCAGACTTTAGCTTTGTCTTAAAACAGCTATTTATTTAAGCTCTTAACTAATTATTATTTGAATAGATTTCTATAAAGTATAAATAATTAATATTTCATAACAAAGTAAGAATCAAATATTTCATAATAAATATGTATTTACAGCTGAGAATTTTATTATTCTTAAAAGCCTACCTTGCATTTATTCCATTTTAACTTTAATCACAATAAAGAAGACCTAATAAATAAATAATAATTATAAATATTTATGTATATATATTATTTATACTATATATATTTATATATATATATTAAATATTTGTTTATTTGTATACTTTCTATTACTAAATAACAATTGAAATACCTTTTGGAAGCTCCCTTCTCTGCCTCATTTCCACCTGTTATTTTGTTCAGGTGAGCCCGTCCCCCCTTTTGGAAGGGGCTAACGAAGCGGAACGCAATGCGAAAGGGAATAGAATAAAGCAGGGGAGATGACAGAGGGATAGTAATTGTGGTGCTAAAAAAAAAACGGAAAAGAAGATGGAAGAATGAACAGAGTTTTTTGTTATTCAACAGGTGCTTTTTGTTAAAATGCTTTGACAGGTTTTTAACCTTATCTTTAGTTTTTAATGTATGCAGCTTAAAAATCTGTTGATTTATTGTTTTTTAGATATTTTTTAGGGAAATTTTAAAGCTTCTTTGAAAGAGTAACAAGTAAAAAACTGTGTTGAAAAACCGCAGATCATGATTTCCGGTTTCATATTTCATTGAAATTATAAAGCAACTCCCTCTGTACGAAATTCAAGGTTACCCAAATATGTGGAAAAACTCACTCAAATTCAGTAATTCAGACTCCACTCCCCTATATATATAGATATATCATATATATACAGATATACTATATATAATGATATACCCCTGCACCCTTTGGGACACTCCTCTAAAAGCTGCCAACGACCTTAATCATATTTAAACAGTTTTTTCTTAACAAATTTTTTGGGTTGCCATAGAAATTACATGCCATTACCTTGATCATTTTTTCTGTGTGTGTACAATTAACTGTAATTTTTTTGATTCGTTATTTTATTTTTCTGTTTCTTCTTTTATTTTGTTTAATGTCTATTTATTGCTTAGCTAAAAAAAGTAATCAACAAAATAGCTTGTAGTTATTATATTTGCAATGGTGATGCAAGCTTGAAGTTGAAATTTGATATTAAATCAAGTTTTATTTGGGAAAAATTATTTAAAATTATATTTAAATTACAAATTAAATATAAATTTGTCTTGAAAGTTAGTCAAAAGATTTTCTTTTATTTTATTTTGTTTAGATAACTTGATTTTTTTTACCTTTGAAAGGGTTTTCCGGACTCTGAACCCAAATTCGATATTAAATTAATTTTTATTTGGGAGAAATTATTAAAAAATATTTTAAAACTATAATATTGTCTTGAAAGTTAGTCAAAATATTTAAATATATTTTATGTTGTTAATATATCTTAATTTTTACACCTTTCAAAGGTTTTCCCAGACTCTGAACTTAAAAATGTTAATAAAACAATTTTGAGTTGGGAAATATTAGTCAAAAATATTAATTAATTATAAATTGAAAATAAATTTACCTTAAAAGTTGTTCAAAACATTTTTTTATTTTATTTTATTTTATTTTTTTAAGAAAACTTTATTTGTAGGCTTTTAAGATGTTTGCCTTGACTCTGAACTGTAATGTAATATTAAATGAAGCAGAAATTAGCAGAAATGGTTCAAAAATACTTAAAAAATTATAAATTGAATATAAAACTGTATTGATAGATAGTAAAAAATATTTTGCTTTATTTTATTTGGTAAAGAGAAGGTAATTTTTAGATCTTCAAGATGTTTTCCCTGACTTTGAACTAGTTATTCATGGATTTCTAAAATTAATTTACCTGCTTACTAATTACTAAGGCAGCATATTCTTTATTTATTTTTAAATATATATATATATATATATATATACTACTTTTAAGTATTTATATATATATAAATATATATTCAACTCCTTAGACTGGTTTTTTGCCTTCAAACCAATTTAAAGTCTTAACTTTTTGGTCTCCATTTTAATGTCAACTTCACTTTGCATCAATAAAATGCCAGACGACCGACCACTGACTCATAAAAGCAGCAACTAACCGCAAAAATATATATATATATATTTTTTTTTGTTGCATTTTTTACTTCTGCAAAAAATTGCGCAACATTTTCCTTGTTTTTTTTAGTTGCTGCAGCAGGTTCCCCTCAACACTATTTGGCTTTGGTCAATTTGGAATAATTTGCAGCTTGTTTTTAGATATTTTTTTTTGTACTTTTTGCATTTTTAACGAGCACGCAATGCCAATTTTTATGATGTTTTTTACACACAGGATTTACTAAAAACATAAAACTAAAGTGGTATTATGATGAGACAGATTTTCATGGAATGCCTTTTGTTTTTTAAGCTCAAACTAAACCACAAAACTAGGTTAATGAGTTCATAACTAAACAAAAAAGTGGAATAGCTAACGTTTTGTTTGCAAACTTTTCTGGTTTTGTGCGAAATTTTGCTACAATTCTTGTTTTCAATTTGAGGGGAGGAAAAAAACGGAACCATTTGCGGTTTTTCATATTTACGCCACGCATTTTCCATGTGAGAGACATGTGAGGTGAGATTACCTCGAATATAAACCACAAAATGCTTTCTGAGCGTTAAACAGAACAAAACATAAATAAATGTTTGAGAATAATATTAATAATAGTTTGTATTCATAGTGGTTTTAATGGTTTTCTAGGAGAAATAGTTGGAGATTATGTTTTTGGGATATTTAAGTATAGTTAAAAGTGTTAAAAGGATTTAGTTTAGGAATGAATAATATTATTGTGTAATATAGTTTACATTTAAACTATAAAATATTATTGCTCTTTGAGAGAATAATGGGGAATTAAATAAGTTATTATTTGCACAATTTTGTTAACTCTTAAGTCACTAATTTCAATTTTGTTTTAATATTTTAAATTCAAGATTTAAACAAGTTTAATTATGATGTATAATTATTTATTTCATAGGTCTCTGAATAGATAAATACAAAACCCTTAAAAATAATCTTCACCATTTTGTTTCTACTGAAATCTCTCTTAAAAAATTTTCCCTAATATCCCTTAAACATTTCTATATTTTCCACAAAATACCTTTCATCTAAAATGTATAAATAAAGACACTTTTCCGGCACTTTCCTTTGCATTTCAACATTCACTATTTTCCATTTCCATTTCCCTTTTCCTTTCCCCTTCATTTGTTGCAAAATGTCTCCCACCTTTGACCCATTTTTCTCAGTTAGACAAACAGCATTTTCCTTGCACACACACACACACACACACACACACACATTTTCCTCGTCCATTGAGTTTCCACTTTGAAATTTAGTCGTCTACGTTTCTGTCTCTATATTTGCCGTGTCTTTTTATCTGTCTGCGTCTTGCATGCATCTTTTGCAATTATTTTGTCTTGGCTGCAGTTTGGCTTTTCCTATTTTCCTATTTTCCCCCTTTGCCTTTTTCTTTTCTGTATTTATTTATTTAGTTTGTTTTTGTTGTTATTATTTTTTACCTGCTCGCGTGGGTGGTTTGGCTGCCATTATTGGCAGTGTTGTTTCTTTCATTATCACGTGTTTGGGTTTCTTTTCTTTGGGTTTTGACGGCTGCCGACTGCGTCAAGTTGTTTTTCAAGTCTCTTTATTTTTCGCAGTTGCCTTTTTTATTGGTAGTTTGTTGTTTTTTCCCCCTCTTTTAGGTTTTTTTTGTGGGTTTTCCAATGTCAGCTAATTTGTGGGCTAGAATTTCCTTTTGTGTAGGTTGTATTTTTGGGTGTTTTGGATTAAAAGTTTAAGGTTACATTGTTGCATTTAAGTAGTCTTGTTGGTTTTTGTGGTTACCTTAAATTATGGCTATATTATTTACTTATTTTTGTTTAATTTGTATTTTTCAGTTCCGGCCGCAGACAGATTAGTTCAAATGCCTTAGCCAGGTAAGTTTCAATAAAACATTTAAATATTATTAGAAATATATGTTACAAAATTGAAATACTTAGAAAAAACGGTATACGTTTATATTTTATTCAATTTAAATTAAAATTGGTCAAGGTTTCATGATTATAACATTATATAACTATGAGATATAAAATCACTTTACTAATTATTTACAATTAAAGTCAAAATTTGTTCTGTATATTTTTTGTAATACATTTTGTTTTTGATAAAAAAAAAACATTTTACTTGAACAGTTCAATACTGAAAATAATTTCAATTTAAATTCAACAAATTTTAATTTTTATTTTTGTATCTTAATAATCTTGTATTTATGTTTAAATTAAAAAGCAAAAAATGGTTTTAGACTTTAAAAAATCCTAAGATATAAATTCAATGCAAGTTTTAGATTTATTGTTAAAATTATTAGCTACTCTTACTGTTTTAGAATCATCTATCAATTGGTAAAGATATCAGCTAAAAGTTAATACAACTGCCAGTTTTAGATTCACTGTGCAACTGGTTCAAGTCTTTGCTAGTAGGTAAGACTTATATAACAGTTTAACAGCTAAAATACAGTCTGGATAACATAGGTGGCACCACAAAAGAAAACATTTTACATGTATGTTACGTAGAAATATAGTGTAAAATTTACACAGCGCCATCTATCTTTGATAAACAAGAGAAATAAAATATAAAAATTTTGATAAATTAAAGTTTTAAAAAACTCATAACTTGGTCAAAAATTCTTTAATTTTAAATCGGAAAACTGTGTTATGCTAGTTTTTATTAGGTTGAAAAATCTGCTTACTAAATTTAACATTTTAAAAAATTTAATTTTTTTGATAATTATTGGCAATTTTAATAATGACAATTTAGTGATGTAAAATTTTGAAGATTGATTTTCGTCCGGAGTAATCTAGATCGACGCAGTTTTTTGTGCTGATCAAGAATATATATGGAATATAGGGTCGGAAATGACTCCTTCGATGTGTTTTAAGCTTCTGACTAAAAGTATAATAAACTGTAATATTTATAAACATTACAAAAAATACAAACTTTGTAGATACATTGTTGTAGTAAAGATAAAAAATACTTGTTTATATATATATGTTGTATATATTTATATTTATATATTTTTATTATAGCCAACTCTATAGATCATCGAGCTTCAACTCATCGGGCCGTAGCTCCAACTGTGATACAACCGAAGACATGTACAGCGATATAAGCTTGGAGAATCGCCATGATTATGACTATAGGGTAAGTAAATCTACAAGAAATTTAAATAAAATAAAGTCAAGTATTTTTAAACTAAACAAAATAAAATAAATTAAAGCTTTTTCAAGTCAAATCTCAAAGATATTTACAATTCAGTAAAGTTTTCCAATTAATTGGCATTAGTTCCTTTAAATTATTTATTACTTTATATTATTACACATTTGTCTTGCATAATTTCCTTAGCAAACAAAAAGCTTAAAAAATAAATCTCCCTTTGCATGATTAAGCTAAAAGAAAAATAGCATTAAAAAAATGTACAAACTGTCAATGTCTGAAAATAATTCATCAAAGAAATTGCTGATGAAGCTGAGGATGGGGGCATAATCTGCACTTGAACCGAATTCGCAAGCTCACAAATAAAATTATTTCCCAACTTTCATGTGTGTTTTTTAAGTGAGCTTTGAAATTCCAAAAATGTTTCATTTTTTGTGATTTCATTTTGCGAAATGAAATGTATTCGTTGGGAAAGAAAATGATTCCCTGGAAAAGTGACTTTGTGACTTTTCACTTTGGCTCATCGGTTCGCAGCGATGTAAAACGTGTTTTATTTTTTTGTGTAGTTTGTTTGTTGTTTGTTGTTTTCTTTCTTTCCCTCAATCGCCATGGCAGTCACCTTCTTCTTTTTTTTTTGTTGATCGTGTTGGCTACCTGGCAGGTGAAATTCAAAGCCTTGTGTGGGTTGCAATCGGTGGATCCAATCGGATTGTGCTCCATTCGCTGTTATATAAAGCGAAAAAAATGGGGGAAAAAAGCAAAAGCATTTCAGTAACATGGCCAATTTGGGTGGGAGAGGGGAGTGCATTGGCGCCTCAAGGTCATTGAAATTCACTTGAAATGGCCTCCCTTGGAATTACCGTCAATTAGATTTCCCGCGGGGCAAGTGTAAGTGTCTGATGGAGGAGATTTTTCTTTTTATTATACATTTTCGTGTATGGGAAACATCTGCAAAATATGCGAGGTGAAGATCAAAGCGATTAACTATGTTTGGGACTATCAAAACGAATTTTTAGTAGGTATTTTATAAGCTTAAAAATTAAATAAAATAAACCTTATTCTTAAGGATTTTTGAAACAATATTTTGCATATTTTTGAGCAATGAAAAGTTGTTAAAAATAATGTAAAAGTTCAAGAGTGATGCCAAAGCATTTTTATTTTATGATTTATTTATATTTTCTTTTCTTTTCTAAGATATTTTGCATATTTTATAAGTAAAAATAATTTGTTAAAAATAATAAATAGTTTAAAATAGACTCTTTGAAGATTGAAATTAAATCTAATAAATTTGTTTAACACAAATATAAGTTGTAAAGAATATTTACACGCTCATCACAGACACCTTGCTATATTTTTTTAAGTTCCTATATTAAATTAGATGTTTTATTTATTTTTTAAGGATATTTTTCATATTTTAAAGCAACTTTAAGGTGTAAAAAATATTTACAAATTTAAGTGAGGACTATTAATGTTTTTATTTTTTGATTTATATGCTATTTAGGTTTCATTTGAAATAGTTTTTTACTTTTTTAAGATAGTTTGCATGTTAAAAAAGCTTGGCAAAATATATGTATAGGTTCAAGTAAAAGATATTCTTTATTTATGAAGTTTAAAAATTAAATTTATAACATTTTCTTCTAAAATTAATACTTTAAAACAATGAAAACATATCATTAATATTGTTTATTTAAATTCTTCGCCTCATACTTTGCAATTCTTTCTTTTTCAATACTTTAAATTATTATATAAATATATTCACCATTAATGTGAATCAATATTCATCATAAATATGCAATCCATATGAAATTACAAATGTTTTCATTAATATGCAAAAGACATCAGCTTTCTTTCCTGCCAACTTAAAGCTAAAGATTTCCGGAACAAAAAGCAAATAACAGGGATACATATGTGTCTGTCTGTCTATCTGCATAATTGCAGAAAATAAACAAATAAGGGAATATGAAAACCTGGTAAAAGTATCCACACAAACAATAAAAAAAATGAAAGGTGGAAAAGTGTACAGGAAAAAATAAAACAGAAAAAAGAAACATATGCCAGAGTGAAAATTGTATTTTTTGCGAAAAAATCTCACGTACGAATCAATTTTTAAAACGACTCTCTGGTTGCTATTGTTCTTTTATGCAACAGGCCAAAAGGGAAACGGAAGTGTGGAATTTGTGCCAAAAGGAAACAGGTAACAGGTGAGGGGGAAGGAAAAGAGGGGGAGAAGGGTCGTTTGGGCCAAAAGATCATTACAAGTCATAAGAAGTGCCTCGCATTTTGGCTTGATTGTTGTGTGAAACTTGGCGCTGCATACGAAATGAGGTCTAAGATGGAAAAACAGGGGGGAAAACAGGGAGAAAAACAAGGGGAAAACCATGGGGAAAAACAGGGAGAAAAACAAAAGGTTTTATGGCCAAAAGGAGATGGGTTATTACTTGAAACTTTGTCTATATAAACGGGGTTTTAATTAGGGTTTTAATTATAACAAAAACATTAAGATTGAAGTGTTAGATTGAAATTGTTAGTAATTTATTTAATAAAACTATTGAAAGGTATTATTATTTCTTACAAAATATACTAGTTTATTATAGTTATTATTTAATTATTATCATTATTAAAACAAGAGCAAAGTTTATAAACAAAATATATATGATTACAAAAGAAAAGTATTTAATAAATAATGAGGATATAGTATTTAACATAAGCTATATTATTTAAAATTCAACCAAAATTATATCTAAAAAATTCTGTGTTCGTAATATTTACCTTCTTGTTATTTACTTTTATTCCATAGAAAATTAAAATTAATACCCCGTATAATTATTCCTTTGAAAATTCTTGAAAACCCCTTAAAAGTATATATTTAATTTAAAAACCTTTCACTTGTTTTTGAAAACCCAATTTCTCTGAAGTGAATTTAGGGACAGGTGAAAACTTTCCACATCTCACCTTGGACCGATGCCCAGAAAAGTGTTGAGCGTATCCAAAAAGATTTTCACTGCACCAAATACGATTTTCTAATTTAATTCCTTTCTTTCACTTCTTGTTTGCCCTAAATTTTCCACCCCTCCTCCAACAAAAATTTTTCCTCAATGCCCCGTTGGTTTAATTAAGCCGAGGTCAGTCTGTACACCCGGAAGAAAAGAATTGGAAAAATCTTACATAAGGTTTTTCTTTTCCTCTCTCTCTCTCCCGATCTTGATCTATTTTCCATCTTTTCCCAGCGGACTGTCAGAGGGTTTGATTAAAATCTGCCTGGATTTGCATCGTCGCACTTATGCAATTATAACTGTAGGCAAACCCAAGACAATGCCACAATTGCAATTTGTTCAATTGTCAGAGAGACTTGCAAGAAATCTGTTTTTCTTTTTTGGGTTAATACATGCACAAGTGGAGTATATGTACATATCTCTCTCTGGGAATGACGACATCACTTGAGAGTTGCCCAAGCAAACTGTTTAGGATTTGGTAATCTCCCAAATTGAATATCTTTGCCGTCTTTTTTTTACCATACCTACATAGTATATATGTATATAAATCTTTGTTTCTTTGCCACATTGATGAAGGCGTCGACTGGAAACTGCCACCTACAAGGCATCGTGGCATAAACAAATAGAGAAAAACTATGGGCCAGGTGTCTTTGGCTAATATAATGCATAAATAGAATTGAAGGGAATACAAATGAAGCTAAAGTTGCCAGAAGAAAAGGCAAGGCAATAAAGTAAATGCTACTATTTTAAATTTATAATATTTAAACCCTTTCATAGCATTATAATTTCAGTCTGAAGCTTAAAATACATCGAAGGAGTCATTACCGACCCTATAAACCATATATATTCTTGATCAGCACAAAAAACTGCGTCGATCTAGCTATATCCGGCAGAAATTTTTTTTAAAATTTATTTTCTCCAAATTTTGTCATTTCAAATTGTCAAAAAAATTGGCAAACATTTTAATTTCTTGAAATTTCAAATTAAGTAAGCAGATTTATTAACTTTGTAAAAACTAACATAGGAAAGCTTTTCGAATTCAAATTAAGGCATTTTTGACTTAGTTATGAGATTTTTAAGTTTAGATTTGTTGAAAAATTGTCATTTAAAAATATCGATTGAAATAATGCAAATAATAAAATTTATAGATTTTCGGTACGAGTCTATAACTAAATAATAAGCCATTTATTTTGCAATAGAAACAACAATTTGCTTCACATAACACTTCCTTCAAATATTGTTTAATTCCTATTAAAAAAATTCTTTCTGGATATAAAGTTATTATAACTCTTTTGTGTTTAGTAATCAATGATTCTATATTTAATTTCTTGTTTTTACCATTTTATTAAAGACAAATCAAAGCAATAAACTTGACTCAATGTGTATAGTTTACAAATCCAGCTTTAAAAGAAAATACCCAAATTTACTTAATACTTCACTCCATTAAATGCAATAAGACTATGACTAGGCTCTCCTTCTCTTTACCTTTCCGAGCAATTTGCTTCCCTTTAATAGACTTGCATCATCTAAAACTGTTTTTCTCCCTTATTTAAAAATAAACGTTTCTTTCATAAACGTCTTCAAGTATTTAATTTGTTTTTCTTTCGGTCTACTTTGAGTCGCATTTGCATTAATTATGATAATTGCAACGTTTATGCCTCACTTTGTCTTGTCTTTAGGATTTACCTTTTTTTTCGATGGTTTCTGGGTCAACGTCACAATTTGGGTTAAAAATTGATTTTCGTTTAGTTTTCGTTTTTAGTCGCATTTTTTGTTGTATTATTCCTCAGTATCTTCGTATTCGTGGCGGCTCCATGCTTTTTATGTTGTGACGGGGTCTTAAGGTGGGCGTCAAAGGTGCCAGCGAAATTGTTTAATCGATAAGACAGAGGGACAGGTGGCATGCCACAAAACGACAGACAAAAGTCCATTTTCAGTGGTCTTTTTGTTGTTATATATTTCTTTATGGGAAGTGGGTGCCAGAAGCCGTTTTTC